CCAGCTCGGTCCAACGAAGGTCAGACTGGTCCAGACCGGTCCAGCACACACCACATCGGTTCATTTCGGTCCAGAAGTCCCGGTTCGTGTCCAAGGCGATTCTCGAGCAGTCCGAGGAGTCCGATTCACCTACCGAAGGTCCGAGATGATCCGATGAGCTTGATGAGCGATTAGAGCACCATGGTGACTCGATTAGAATCGAGAAAGGCCAAGTCAAGCCGCCTATTAGACTTTGGTGTTCAGACGATCTCCATCAACGGAAATCAGAAACGTCTCAGAGTCGGCAAAAATTTTAAACCGTAAGTCCTAATCATAACTATAGATTCCGCTGCGTTAGGATTTATTATTCAATAGATTTGAATGTGCACATTGTCGACGTTCCTAATAGAACCCAACAATTTATTCATTGATATAGGAAAAAAAAATTATTAATTATTGTTCACCATATAATACTCAATTATTATTTTATTATAAAATTTACAGTCAAATAATGTAATTATTATTATTTATAAAAGTTAAGTAGTCTTCTTTATGTAATAAAATTCAAAATAAATTTTGAGTAATGTTTACAAAATACACAGACATGTTTTTTAGAATTCAATTTTCTCATAATAATGATTTAGCAATTGCCAAAAAATAAATCCCTTACATAATCAAGAGATTTTTTCTAATTTTCATCCTAAGACTTTATATTTTATTTAACATACTATGCAATAGAAAAATATTTTCTAATAAGTTCATTTTTTAAACATAACAAAAAAAAAGTGATAAAAACATATCATAGTTGACAATAATATACAAATAAATAACATGTCGAAATTTTAAAGAATAACTATAATTTTATTATCTAACCATCAATAAAATCATTTAATGATGTGATCATTATCTTTTAAATAATAAATAATACTACCTCCTATTCAAAATAAATGTCGTTTTGGGAAGTTGCACAATAATTAAGAATATTTTTGTTGTCAATAATAACCCTATTTAATGAAGATAGAGATGAATGTTTTAAGAAAAAATGAAGAGTGAATATCAAAAGACGTAGTGTATTTATTGACTCAATGAGGGTAATAATGGGAAAAACATGTACAAAAACCCAAAACGTCATTTATTTAGTTAATAGTTGATAAAGCCAAAATGACGTTTAAAAAGAATAGGAGGTAGTATTAATTTTTTTAAAAAATATTAGTGTTATATAATTAAATAAAGGTTAAAAAATATTACTCGACAAATATTAATTATAATGGATATCAGTAAAATCATTGCATAAATTATTTAAGGAAAAAATTTTGAAGATCATATTTGGATAGTAAATGTAAATATGCAAGCATTTAATGCATATAGTAAAAAAATTCCAAATAAAGTATGCATTAAATGTGTGTTGACTTTTCTTGCTACTGTTTTTGGTAAATAGGTTGGCTTTTAATATATACTAGTACAGAGCTCGTGCGATGCACGGGGTGCACAATTTTAATGTCATTTATCCATTCTTATTATTATATAAATGAATAAAAAAATTATACGAGATATATATAGTACGTGACCTGTAATAGGCCAAAAAGTGAACACGGGTGATGCACAAGGTGCACAGTTTTAAGGTCATTTATTAGTGCATACCCCGTGCGATGCATGTGATACATATAATAAATCAATTATTTCTATAGGACTTGTACGTCTAGACAAAAAAACAATAGACTTGGATCATCCATATTTCACATCTTTTAATAAGTGACGTTTATTTAAGCAAAAAATTAACATGTTAATTAATATATAATTCCGCTAACACGTCATACTAATATTTATTTGATTTTAGAATACATATTTATTCATTGATATAGGAAAAAATAAAATTTTATTAATTATTGTTCACCATATAATACTCAATTATTATTTTATTATAAAATTTACAGTCATATAATGTAATTATTATTATTTATAAAAGTTATAGAAGTAGTCTTCTTGATGTAATGAAATTCAAAATAAAATTTTGAGTATAAATGTTTACAAAATACACACACATGTTTTTTAGAATTCAATTTTTTCATAATAATTCTTTTTTTAAAAAAAAAATGATTTAGCAATTGCCAAAAAATAAATCCTTTACATAATCAAGAGATTTTTTCTGATGAATATTTTTCATCTTAAGGTTTTATAGTTTATTTAACATACTATGCAATAGAAAAATATTTTACAATAAGTTTATTTTTGAAACATAACAAAAAAAAGTGATAAAAACACTATCAGAGTTGACAATAATATACAAATAAATAACATGTCGAAATTTTAAAGAATAACTATAATTTTATTATCTAACCGTCAATAAAATCATTTAATGATGTGATCATTATCTTTTAAATAATAAATAATATTAATTTTTTTAAATAAATATTAGTGTTATATAATTAAATAAAGGTTAAAAAATATTACTCGACAAATATTAATTATAATGGATATCAGTAAAATCATTGCATAAATTATTTAAGGAAAAAATTTTGAAGATTATATTTGGATAGTAAATGTAAATATGCAAGCATTTAATGCATATAGTAAAAAATTTCCAAATAAAGTATGCATTAAATGTGTGTTGACTTTTCTTGTTACTGTTTTTGGTAAATATGTTGGCTTTTAATATATATATATAGATAGATATAGATTGTTATAAATATGTATTCTTTTTATTTTTAAATCTTTATGATTTTTTTATTTGTGTTTCATTTTTTGTATATTATATCTCAAAATAATTATATTTTGACTGATATGGCCATACTGTCGTGCATCGGTTCAGTAACCGCGGCATTGCCGCGATTGG